GACTTTCGAACCCACCTTGGCTCGAAATACGGCCTTAAGTAGGATCGAACCCATCTCGGTTCGAAAATCGGACGGGGTGGCCGATTCATCCAGGGTTCGATATTTTGACAAGATGAGGGTTCGATTTTCGTCTCTTGTAGGGTTCGATTTTCGGCTTTGTAGGGATTGAGCTTCGCTGAGACAAGTGAATTATCAAACTTCACCAAATAGACATTTGCTTACAGATTTAGATTTGTCTCGAGAATACAAACAAAATATGTGAAGACATGTTATGGCTTAAAATAGAAACTGGAAGAGTTATTGGATTTTTAGAGTGCAAAAAAGGTAAAAAAGACATTAGAAGTTGAATAACTCTTTCATTTTTCATTTTAACCCATGATATGTGTTGACATTTTTGGTTTGAATACTTGAGACGAATCTAAATCTGTAAGGTGATGTGTGTTCGGTCAAGTTTGCAAATTGACTCCAGGCGCTGCCCTGCGAAAGCCCGCAGAGCCGAAAGTCGGCGAAGCGGTCGAAAATCGAACCCCACGTCCGAAAATTGAACCCACGTGGGTTCGATTCTACTTAAGCCCGATTTTCGAGCCGGGCGAGAATTGGGACCGCCTTTCCACGGTTCGAAAATCGAACCCCCTTCTAACAGTGTGGGAAGCGCGTCCGCAGTGTCCGCAGCGCGCGGCTCGGCGACGCGCCGGTCGTGACGTGGGCGCGGCCTGCGCGGCCTGCGTCTGTTTGCCTTGGACGGGGGGCAGGGCCGGCAGGGTCGGCACGGCCAGGCGGAGGGCGCTCTGAAAGGCGGTGAGCGCCTCGAGGTAGGCCTCCCATCGGGCAAGGCGCCGCGGCAGCGCGGCAGCGTCTGGCTGGAGTGGAGACCGGGGGCCTGTGCTGTGCGTTGTGCGCCACGCTGGTCGGCTGGCGGTTGCCGAAGCGTTGGGCGTCGCTGCGTCGCCTCCCCATCCATGGTCGCTAGAACCTGCTTTTGGGAGCAGTAATGTCTATTGCCGCACTTCCTGCGGGTAGTGGTTTCGCCCGCTCGGCGGAGTGCTCCATGCAGGTGAGGCGCTGTTCGGCCGCGCCGGTCGTTATTTCTCCAATTTCCTTCGGCGTGCGCCGTTTAATCCGCGGCGCCCTCCCCACCCACCCATGCCTCGTATTTATCTACATCTAGACAACCTCCCTGCAACCGGCTCCCGACCCTCGCTCATTCTCACACGTAATTATCGCGTCTCTCTCCCCCATGTTTGTCTCTGTTTCGCTCACGCACCCATAAACGAAGCGCCCGGAGCGATTAGCGAATTTCTCGGTGGTTCGGGTCGGGATGTGGGGCAAGGCCTGGCGAGGCCTGGCGAGGCCGGGCGAGGCCTCTCTTCTGCGGGTTATACAAGAATGAAAACACCGAATCGCCTCGTCTCCCCGGCCGGAGCGGCGGCGCGGCGGAGACGGCCTGTCTGTCGCGGGGAAGGGACTCGTCGAGTCCTTGTCCCTTTCGCTCTCCGAACGAGTAGTTTGGCGCGTCAAGGGACGAGGAGTCGCACAACGGACCCATGTCGTCCCGCGCCACGTTCGTTTTCTCCGCGCGGCCGTCCTCGCATGGGCCGAGTTTGATGATTTTGTCCCCGCCTTGAAATTATACGTGCCGCTCGGCGACGCACCGTGTATTGCACGACGATGATTGGCGGAGTGGGAAGAAATGGGGGCCTGACCGGTCAGCCGGGGGCGGGGGGGGGGGGGGGGACACGACAATGTTCCGTGCGATCCATATTCGTCTTGCGCTGCCAAAATGTCGCGTAGGCGTTCGTCTCGGGGCAATTGTCGGTGCCCCACTGCTCCGGTTGTGGAGCGTGGCGGAGCCCCTCGAAAAACGTGGCCGGTAAGGTGGTCAGGTCCACACACTGCAAGGCTGCTGGGAAATTGCTTTCCTGCGGCGTTCAACAAGTAGATTATGCGTGCTGCCTTATAGACGGGCAATAAGTTGGCGCAGCGGGCCGAGCGGGCACGCACGTCGACGCACGTCCACCGTGATTGCCCAGCCGGTGGCCGCGCGGATGTTCGCCTCGGTCCTCGCAACCTGTTGGACGCTTTCGTCAAAGGACGGCCGGAGCGTGGCCCTGCCGGAGCGTGGCCCTGCCGGAGCGTGGCCCTGCCGGAGCGTGGCCCTGCCGGAGCGTGGCCCTGCCGGAGCGTGGCCCTGCCGGAGCGTGGCCCTGCCGGAGCGTGGCCCTGCCGGAGCGTGGCCCTGCCGGAGCGTGGCCCTGCCGGAGCGTGGCCCCGCCGGAGCGTGGCCCCTGGCCGCGGTTTGATCGAGACTTGTAATGAGGGCCTCGTATCAGCGAGGGATCACTCGCACAACTCATTTCAATGCTGTGCGTGTGGCAGGGGGCCGGGCCATGGCAGGGCCGGGCGTCGTTCATCAACGTTTGCCTGACGTGGAATGGATTTGCTCTGCGCGGCGCCCGCATGTGACACTCTGACTGTCCGTCGGTCCGGCCGCCGCGTTTGGCGGGGGATGATTGTTTTGGCGCGTCTGGCCGCGCGGAACGAGGTCGGTTTATTGTTGCGGTAATTACAGTGGCGACACGGCCACCCTCGTGTTGCGCCCCCCGTGGGGGCCCCGCCGCCCCTTTGTCGCTCCCCCATTGTGGCCCCCGATTGTCGCGCTGATGAGTCTGGCTGGTGGCGACGGCGCGACGGGCGCGCGACGGGGCGATGTCGCCGCGACGCGATATGGGTCATCGGGCCTGGCGGCTGGCGGCCTGCGGTCTGGCCCCGCACGCCCCGCAGGTGTCCGCCGGTCCACCGGAGTGGCGTGTTTGGCCGCGGCGGTTTATCGTTGCTTTTACAATGTGTGCCGTTTTTAATGGCGTTAGGTGCCCGGCGGCGGGTCATCGTGGTGCTCCGACGCGTGCGCCGAGTCCGGCAACGTCCTTGCGGCCGCCGCTGCTGCTGGTCGTCGAGGCCCACCGCCACCACAGCCGCAAGCCTTGGCCGGGCCGTGCAGGCGGGGCCCGCGGCCGTCTCCGGGCGGGGCGGGCCGGGCCGTGGCGGTAACTTAAACGAAATGTCCCTCCGTCCAGGTTATCTGCGCCCTCCCCCTCCTCTCCCCCGCTGCTGCCCCCGCTCCCCCTCCCCGTTCCCTCCCCAAAGAGCGCACCTCCACCGCGGCCCGCTCGGCCAGGGGCAGCGCTGGGCTGCGGCCTGGGCACGGCCTGGGTGCTGAGCCAGCCGTCGCCGCAGTCTCGTGTTGTGTTCGGCGTGCGCGTCGCGTTCCGTTCCGTCGCCGTGTTCCGTTCCTTCGCCGCGTCCGCCGCGTCACCTGCCCGTTTTGTGCTTTCCGCGTTCGGTAGTGTTCGTCAGTGTAGTGTTGTGCACGTACATTTGGTGGGTTTCCTCTTCCCGCGCGAACGCTGTCGCGTTTGGAGCCAAGACGCCACCGCGGCGCCGCTCGCCGCGCTCAGATTTCGGATACTCCGCTCCAGAACGTCCGGATAACTGCATCACCCTCGTTTCACAGCACAAGAGCAAAATAAGGAGGACACGAGCCGAAGAAGAAGAAGGAGAAGAAGCATAAAGAAAAGCGATCGAGGCAGGAAACAGCATCAAACTCGGTGTCGGCGTGTCCAGCGGGCCGAGGGTGATTGCTGGGTCAGCGGCATTCTCGCCAGCGTCACTGCGTAGCTGCGTCGCCAACTCCGCCTTGAAGGTCTCGGCGTCCTCTCCGCGTCTCCACTGCATTATGGCCAAGCTGCACTCGTTGGCGTGCTCGGGGTGACCCGGGGTGACCGCGCTCGCTGTGATTTATCCCTTGCGGTCAACTTCGGCCGAGCCGAAGGCCCAAAGGGGACCCGAAGGGGACCCGAAGGGGACCCGAAGGGGACCCGAAGGGAAGGCCGGCTGCATTCGGGCGTAGCCGATTGACCGCGATTGGCGCAGCCAATCTAGCCCAAAACAAAAAGGGGGGGGGGCGACGAAACCAGTCGTTTGGCTAATTGAGCTCGCTGGAGTCCAGGATCGCGGGGGAAGGACGGCGATGTCGATATGTTCCGCCAGATTCCTCCGCCCGTCGTTGCGCAAGCCTTGCGCAGCCTGCCCTTTTGGACACGGCCGGCCAGTCACGTGCTACGCATAACTTGCGCCGCCCCGAGAGTTATCTCAGCCCGAAAATGTGCCGGCCGGCCGGCCGCGTCGCCGCCGGCGGTCGCCGTGCTGCAGGTTTGCCTACCGACGTCAGGCGCTGGTAGGCAATCCTGCAGCAGCCTCTGAGAAAGAATGGCTCGCGGCTCATTACCTGTTTACTAAAATGTGTGGGGTTTCAATCATGCGGGCCGCGCGCCGCCGGGCCCTGCCCCGCCCCGAAATGATGTACGCTCTCGTTGCTGCGAGGCGCGGCCGAGCGGCCCCGGCCGCTTTGTGTAGGCAGGGCTGCTGTCTCGTCAGCTGCTGGGCGGCGACGGCGGCGACGGCGGCAACCCCTGAAAGGTTTCAGAAGGACAGAATCGCAAGGGAAGTGTTTCGGATAGGAATCGGGGACCGGTTGGTTGCTGGTTACACGACTGGCTTGAACGCGGAGTCGGTCTCTAAACAATGAAGGCGTGGCGGCCTAGTCTAACCGCGAGCATGCCGTGGATCACCTTGAGGAAGATTAACGCTTTGGGCCGGCTGGGCCGGCTGGGCCCCGGGATGCCTGAATGCCCCATTGTGAGGCGAGTCGCGAGTGCAGCTTGGCCGATGCACCCACGGAGTGCCACGGAGCCCCTGCTGGTCGGTGTCCGTCGCCGAGCTGAGCCAATCCCTTTCCACAGAGCCGCTAATCGACGACTTCCTCGGCGGCCCCTATCGACGCGTTGCCATGGCGACCACCATGACGACGGCGGCGGCCGCCAAGGCGCCGGCCGCGAACCCCGGCGGCGGCGGGTCGCCGTCGGCGGCCTCGGCGGCCTCGGCCACGGCGCTGGCCGACATGGAGCGCCTGCTGCTGGACAGGACGGCCGACCTGCGTCGCCGCAACGAGGTGATCCGCTTCCTGCAGGACGAACTGCAGCTCAAGGACTCGCGCATCCGGGAGCTGCGCAACGAGCTGGACAAGCTGCGCACCGTGGTGCAGGGCCAGCTGACGGTGCAGCTGCAGCAAGTGCACCTCAGCCCGCTGCTGCGCTCCAAGAGGCAGGCCATCTCGGCGGAGCCTTCCAGGGACCACCACCCCGTGGAGAAGGTGGACAAGCCCGACTAGTGAGTGCCCGCACCATTGCATCAGAGGAAGGGACTGGTATAAATTATAGTTTGCTGTTATTTTCATCCTTGGGCCGTGAGATGGGTTTGCCTTGGGCCACACGGCGCGGTATAAGTCAACCGCCAGGCTGGCCTAGGCCGGCCAGGCCGCCAGGCCAGCACACAAGTGCCTTGCCGCCAGCCGCGCCGCCCACCGCCGCGGAGATAGGTTTGGCGGCCGGTTTTCAGACTTAAAGACACGTCGCTCGGCGCCGCGCAGCGCGCAGCCCTGAGGGCCTGCATGGCGGCCGCGCACCTCGCCGATAGCACTCGGCGGGAAGTACTTGGCCAGGTGAGCAGAGCGGGTCAGTGGGGCTGCGCAAGGTTGGCCGTCCCTGCGGCCTGGCGGCGCCTTTGAGCGATAGGGTGGCCCGGCCAAGTGGCCCGGCCAAAGCTAACAGGGCTGCGTTTTGCGTCCTCTTTTTCGTGACGCCTGCCAGATTAAAAGCCACGCGTCCAGGCCCAGGCCCGCCCAAGCCCGCCCAGGCCCCTCGCGTGTCGGCTCGGCAGGACCGGTGACGTCACGCGACCCGCCCTCCGCTAATTGGAGGAAGCGAACTTCTTGAAGGCTTCGCGACATTATTTTCAAACTTGCTGTCCTTTTTTTCTGTCGCATGAATTTATGCATGAGGAGGCACACACATTGTGTTGGCGCGAGCTTTTGCTCTTGCCTCTGCGGTGTTGCAAGCGGGAACGGCCAAATAATGTTCAAAACTGTAATGAGCTTGCCTACCGTCCGAGGCCCCCGACAGTTTTACTCTTTTCTTTTCGGCGCCTTTTTCTTCCTTTTTACAACCTCCCTGCAATGATTCGGTGTGATCGCGGAACCGGTCCCGGGGGCACCCAGAGCACGCCAGGCACGGCACGCACGGCGGGCGTGGCAGGCACTCCGGGTTTGTCCCTAAACGGCGCAAACAAACAGTACACTGTGGACAGAGTGGCCTCTCGCCTGCGTTGCTGTTGCCCGCGGACCACATTTTGTTGCCTTTTTCGAGCGTCGCTTCGGTTTTAAGTGGCCGGGCCATGGCTGGGCCGTGGCTGGGCCGCGGCCCCGGCTGCCGGAAGTTGGCGCAGAGTTCGTCGTGCGAATAGCAATGAGCGTCGAAAAGTGGCGTTCCGTTAGGCCCTAGGCATGTCTCGGGCCGGGCGACTCTAGGCGCTCCGCACCGCTCCGCACCGCTCCGCACCGCGGCGTGTCAAAACTGGCAAGTCCGCCGCGGCCGGCCGCGCGCTGGAAACAGACGAGCACTTTAGGCCGCTTCCCCCGCTGGACTGAGATAAGGCCCCCGCCGCGGTGCCGTCGTCGGCGAGCTCGCTGCCTTCCCGTCCCGCGGCCCGCGGGGTCGCCGTCGTCGGAGTGCGTCACCGAGCCACGGGCAGGCCGCGCCACGCCGCGCCACGCCGCCCTGCCAAAGGCAACTCAGCCGCGCCAAAATACGGATGCCGCCCTCACAGTGGTGGCTTCTAGGAAAACTGAGCCCGAGCTCCATCTATTTTACTGGCTGGCCGGTAAAGAACTGCCCGAAATAGCGACCGGTTCGTAACGGTCGCCGCACATTCGTCACAAATTTGTTGCTGCCACGAATGTGTGGAGGAGAGTGCGTGTGAGCAGTAATTATTTTCAGACCAAATATGTACTCTGAGAGGGGGGGAGGTGCAGTGGATGATCAACTTTTCCCATTTTGATGTTTTTCTCAACCCTTGCTCGACGGTCTGTGTGATTTAGCATTTAGTAGAGAGGATTAGACCGACGACGACTTTCTAAGGCGGCCGAGTAATACGGCAACCCGAGTGTGCAAGTTCTCGGTGAGCTTATCAGGTTTAATGCGACTAGTCGGCGGGGCGGGGCGGGGCAGCCGCACCGCTCTCGATGGAGGTGCGCGGGCTGAAGGCAGCGGGCCCACGGTAAATCACTCGAGGTAATTTTTACAGCTTGGTGGTGATTTGCTCGAAGTGCACCGGGACTGAAACTGTCGCATGCGAGATGAAACAGCGACGGGGGGCCTGGCAGCGCGCTGACTGCCACCGCAGGTTCAGAGAAGGTTTAGCAGGCGTGGCCTACAAAATGCCTCGGCACGAAAATCCTATACTGTATTGCGCGAATCTTGCGTGCACCCTCTTTGTGGAAGATTCTGCTGTGACAGGCGTTTTCCTTTCGTTTTTGTTTTATTTGTCGACTTGCGGTAACCGGGCGCCTTACGCGTATAATAAACTGTCGCCGATCGGCGCGACGTAAAAGAATGCGTAAAAGTCAGGCGGGTAATTGAGTGGACGGAGAGGCGAGTGTCCGAAAGGCAGAAAGCCTCGATATTTAACTGCCGCGCGGCGCGGCGCGGTGGGGGTGTTTCTGGAGTGTTTGGCGCGAGCGCGAAATGGTACCGGGTGCCGGTAAAAAAGAAGGCGAAATCGGTTTTTATTTTTTTATTGAGCCAAAGCCTTGTTTGGCCTGTGTGAGGGCCTCATGACTGCACACACTTCGCTCTGTCCGCTGGGGAGTAGAGCGACACCGTTTTTTGCCCTCCGAGACAGCATGAGGTTCATCATCGGCTGATCCGCCGTCCTGTGGCGTTGCCGGGAAAGGACTCCGTGTGTCCGTGTGGAGCCGCTCGGGTGGGTGTGAGTGTGTGTGCATGTCAATGCACTGTAATGCACGGCAATGCAGCTGACCTCGCGGCCCGGCCGGCTCTGGTTCGTTAGGCTGGGTGCGGCCCAAAGTATTTCCAAATGATGCTCCTCGCCCCTTCCCCTCCCCTTCTCATTGTCTCAGCCTGAGACATGTTTCTGGCAAAGGTTGCCTCACTGCAGAAAAACAAACTAAGTAAGACGGTTTGGATGAATCATACGTTATGGATTTTCGACTAACCTTTCAATAACACACCTCTCCCCCTGTTCGGCTTTCTCGGGCATTCGCGTCGCTCAGTCTGCGGCCACCCCAGAAGGACGCCCTCCACGAAAACAACTCCGTTTATCGCCTAATCTGGAATGACTTTCCGCTAAACTGCGCGGAACTTTATCATACTCTGCGTTCAAGTCGTGTTCTCCTCGAACCATGACTGGTTTGACCTTTGCCTCGCCCCGCCTTGCACCTTTTCTCAGTGTGCCTGCTGCGCCGCCGAGCGCCGCTCCCTTCCTTCGGTTTTCATTCACACACGCTTTCGGCCATTCGGCGGGGCTGGCTTGCTCTGCCGCTGGTGGCCGCCAGCCATCGCCGTCCTTGGCAGTGGACTACGCGCGGCCGGCGCCGCCCCATCCCCGGGGCGGGCAGCCTACTTGGACATGGTCTTCAAGTGCAGTCGACCGCGAATCGGAGCAATGGAGTTGATCATTCAACGATTCGTGGATCGAAAGCTGAGACTGTTTCTCCATCCGACGAGCTCGGCGAACTGTTTACGAAACCTGGATGAGTAAGAGAGACAGAGCTCTTACTCGAATCTGTCGGCGCACCACGTAGAAATTTCGCAGTTTCGGTTGAGACGCGCCGCGCCGCGCGCATCCCCAGAAAGCCCCCCTCCCCTCCGCCGATCGCGCCGCTCGTGGAGGCCCTGTCAAACAAACTCGAGGCGCGCAGTGGGGTCCTGCACTCTGTCCGCCGTGCCGGCCGGACCGTCCGTTGCCGCGGAGCGACGTGTGTTGTTCCGCGCCGCTCTGCCAACGAAAATGTTGAGACGGCCTGAGTGACGGAGGCATGGCTGGCATGGCTGGCATGGCGGGCAGGGCCGGCATGGCGGGCCGAGCCTGAGCAGACGGACTGCCCATTACAGACAGCCGCTGCACCGCCCGCCCACCTGCAGCGCCGCGAACGCCACGAACGCCGTGAAGGTTGAGGTGCCGGGGGACGCGGCGGGGCGGCCGGTTAGCGGTGACGGCCGCGCGTCGAGGAGTCCGTCAAGCAGCCCAGCCGCCGCGGCTCCGGATTCGATGCCTGTGACTGCAGACAGCTTGTCGCGCATTTATCTTCCAGGCGATAGCACCTACACACACACACACACGGGCAGACACATGCACACGCCAACACACTCACACACCTCCAATCATATTATCTTCCGCGCGTGTGTGTGCAGTCATGACTCACTGCGTGTTGCTGGCCGCGGGCCAAATGCTATCCGCATCTCAAGTGCCGTTCCAGAGACCCAGGCGTCGCGGCGCCGCGGCCGACGCCCCGTCCCTCGCCTCCCTCCCTCGCGCTGCACCGCGAGCGGCCGCGAGGCTGTGGACGCGGGTCGCGGCGCGGCTTGGGGTTGGCGAAGCGCGCTGCCGTGGCGCTGCACGCCGACGACCCGACGACCCGCCGCGCTGACGAGGCGACCCTGACATGGCCGTGTTTGCTTTTCCAGCTCCCGGGAACTCATCAAGGCGGCCATCCTGGACAATGACTTCATGAAGAACCTGGAGGCGGCGCAGATCCGGGAGATCGTGGACTGCATGTACCCCGTCGACTACTCGGCCGGCTCGCTCATCATCAAGGAGGGCGATGTGGGCTCCATCGTGTACGTCATGGAAGGTGAGTGCTTCGAGTCCAGCCGGCGAGGACGGCGAGGGAGGCCTGGCCCCCTCGCGGCAGGCAGCCCATCGTGGCCGCGTGCCGGTCGGGCTGCCGCGCGCGGCCGGGCGGGCTGGCGGGACGCAGCGCCCTCGAGCGGCAGTGCGGCGAAGCTCGGAACGGGCGCGGCGGACGGGACCCCAGCGGACCCCCTCCGCCGACATGGCCAGCGGCATCGGCAAGCATCGCCAAGGCAAAGCGAGGCGAAGCGGGAAACTACTTTGCGGCATTGCCGGCCTCGCTGGCGCTGCAAATAAAATGGATTCGTTGCCATGACCGCGAGGCGAGGCGCTCGTCGTCTGGACCCTTCCGAGAAAGCTGTCATTGCGCGTGGAGGCACTGTGCCGCTCCCATTCCCCTGCGGCCCGGCCCGCTCGAGGCTCGGTGGCCGGGCCGCAGCGCCACCCAGCCTCAATAAGACCCCGGTCGCTTTATTGGCCGCACGTTTTGCAATGTTTACTTCTACCGCCGATACGCGGAGAACGCCTGCGAGGTAGGCAACGCGTGAGCCTAGCGCGCACGGGAGCTGTGCGGCGTTGCCTACCCTGGACTTCCCAGGCGCTTGCGAGGGGCCGCCTGCGAGGTATGCAAGCGTGCACTGTAAAAAATTTTGACACGAAATTTCGTGTTGTGGCTAGTGAAACGCCCCTTCTTAGTTATACTCTTAATGAATTTTGTGTGCCAGTGGCAATGAAATTTCGTTCGCCATGGCACACGAAATTTTGATGGCCACTGGCGATCAGAAGGCTTCTTTCCTACGCCAAATGGCAATTTTTGAGTCGTGGCGCTGGAAAGGATGCTCGGAACCAATATCGTGAACTTTCAAGTTGTGGCGAGGAGAATTCGTCTCGGGCCGATGAAAAAAGCGGCACGAGCGGTCGGCATAGAACCCGAAACTTCAACTTGGATGTCTTGTGCCCTGACCCCTCGGCCACCGCACCACTGCTTGGCAGAGCGCTCGACGGAGCTTCATCATGGACTCGCGAGGACTAGTCTGGCCACCACCAGGTGTGGCGAAGCAAAGCATGCTTCCCTTAGCCACAACTTGAAATTTCATAACTGTCGTCTGGGTAGGATGCCTTTTCAGTGCCACACCTATGATTTTTCTTTGCCAAGGGGCTGTCAAATTTAAAGTCGTGGCTGAGGGAAGCATCGTTTTGTTAGCCAAGCGGTAAATTTCACATTTCGACTTGGAATTTCATGTGCCACTGGCTCTACAAATTCACTGTCGCGGTTTGGAAAGTGACCTTTCCATAGCCAGTGGCGCTTTAAACACACTTTCGTGTCTGGCTAAGAAAATTCAAGAAGCCATTGGCTACATAAATTTAAAGATATTTTTTACAGTGTGCGCCCAGCGCGCGCGGGAGTTGTGCGGCGTTGCCTATCCCGGACTTCGCAGGCGCTTTGGGGTGCTGATGGCTCGAACAAGCCAGCAAGGCGGTGGCGGCCGTGTGGGGCCAATCAACGCCGCCAGTAAATCACTTTCTTCACTCGGAGTGCCGGCCGCCTTGCTGGCCGCCGCCCGGCCGAACTTGATTTCGTTTCCACCAGGCGTGCCGGACCACGCCAAGGACACGCACCTGCTGCAGACAAAAGCCCCGCGACGACCGGGCCGCGTCTTTCCCTCTCGCGCGCATGTGTGCGTGCGACCGTGCGTGCGTGTGAGTGTTATATCCTTTCCGGCTGAGGGTGTCTAGTTGGGCCGGTCGGGCTGACGTCCAGTCTGCCACGGCCCCGCCACGCCCCGCCACGCCCCGCCACGCCCCACCACGCCCCGCCACGCCCCGCCACGCCCCGCCGGGGGGCTGGTTTGTGGCCAGCCTGGGTGGGAAACGTGAGCGGATGTTATACAATCAGTTATTAGGACCCAAGTGGACAGTATTATTTTGTTGTTTTTCTTCTCGTTTCCTTTCATTCCTGCGTCCTCTGCCCTCGTCCTCGTCTATCTCGTTCCTGATTGCAGCGCTTGCAGCGTCCTAGTGCCATGACTTTCCCTGCGTTTCGGCCTTCAGCGAGTGCCCTGCCCCGCCCCGCCCCGCCATGCCGACGGTCCGTCATTACCGGTTAGGGACGCCGAGTGTGAATTATCTGGGCATCTAGGAGGAGAGAGAGAGGGAGAATGTGGCGCACTGGCAGTCCTGGCCTGGCACTCTGATTGGTTTTTCCATCAGGAACACGGATCGCGCTGCAGTTGCTGCGAAACATCGTCAGCTCCCGATTAATTATTGGTTTACGTAGTCTGCTGCAGCTAAATCCGGTTAGCCACTGCAGCCGCAACCTGCTGGCGGTTCCAGAAGAGGCCTGGAGCGCCTGGAGCGGCCGCAGGCGCGTGGCGCACCCAAGGCCGGGAACAGGCTCGGACTGGCCAGGGCAGACAGGCAGAAAAATCTGCCGGGGCCTTTGGATTTGTGACCAGTAACGTCACGAAGTTGGTCAAAAAGTGATTGAATCTCCGAAAGTGGCCGTTTTCGCTGAATTTGAGCGGCCACTGCTTCGATCTAGTTGCAGCCAACGGCCTCCCTCGACGTCCTAGTATTCTTAAGACCCTACTCTTTCATGCCCTGTATCGGGAAGACGTTGACCACAACGATTTTGCCTTTGACCGCAACGATTTTGGGACCAAAGTTGGTCAAAAAGTGGTCGAATCTCGGAAATTTGCTGATTTTGCTGACTTTGGGGGGCCACTGTGTCCAATCTAGTAGCCGTAAAAGGCCTCCCTCGACGTCCTAGTATTCTTAAGACCCTACTCTTTCATGCCCTGTATCGGGAAGACGTTGACCACAACGATTTTGCCTTTGACCGCAACGATTTTGGGACCAAAGTTGGTCAAAAAGTGGTCGAATCTCGGAAATTTGCTGATTTTGCTGACTTTGGGGGGCCACTGTGTCCAATCTAGTAGCCGTAAAAGGCCTCCCTCGACGTCCTAGTGATCTTAAGACCCTACTCTTTCATGCCCTGTATCGGGAAGACGTTGACCACAACGATTTTGCCTTTGACCGCAACGATTTTGGGACCAAAGTTGGTCAAAAAGTGGTCGAATCTCGGAAATTTGCTGATTTTGCTGACTTTGGGGGGCCACTGTGTCCAATCTAGTTGCCGTAAAAGGCCTCCCTCGACGCCCTAGTATTCTTAAGACCCTACTCTTTCATGCCCTGTATCGGGAAGACGTTGACCACAACGATTTTGCCTTTGACCGCAACGATTTTGGGACCAAAGTTGATCAAAAAGTGGTCGAATCTCGGAAATTTGCCGATTTTGCTGACTTTGGGGGGCCACTGTGTCCAATCTAGTTGCCGTAAAAGGCCTCCCTCGACGCCCTAGTATTCTTAAGACCCTACTCTTTCATGCCCTGTATCGGGAAGACGTTGACCACAACGATTTTGCCTTTGACCGCAACGATTTTGGGACCAAAGTTGGTCAAAAAGTGGTCGAATCTCGAAAATTTGCCGATTTTGCTGACTTTGGGGGGCCACTGTGTCCAATCTAGTAGCCGTAAAAGGCCTCCCTCGACGTCCTAGTTTTCTTAAGACCCTACTCTTTCATGCCCTGTATCGGGAAGACGTTGACCACAACGATTTTGCCTAGGCTATTGACCGCAACTTGTGTGGGAGCGGTAGACTCACAAAGTTGGTCATGAAGGGTAAAAACTATTATGATCGGGGGCCTTTTGCCGTCTTATCTGCCGGGGCCTTTTGGGGGCCAGTCCGAGCCTGGCCGGGAACCGCGGCTCGGATCATTTTGCGGACCCGCGCTCTGCTCGGCGCGCTTTGACGAAAGATGCCGGGCTAAGTGGCGTCCACTTCTTTTCCGTGGTAATGAAGTGGGTGTCGGTAAGCGTTGCGCCGGTCGGGCCCGGCCGGCCCGGCTGGCCCCGCCCGCCCCAACGAGCCCCGCCCGCGGACTGTGGGAGTTCCCCGGTGTGGGAATAGGTCAGCGCCTGGGAGCGCGTGTGTGCGGCGCGGTGGCGGCGTGGCGCGGTGCGGGAACCGGCGGTATCAACCCGACCGGCGCACAGTGGTGTGGCGCCGCGCCGCGCTGCACTTGAACGGTCCTGTTTCGGCGGCCACGCCGCCACTAATTGGAGCACCGAGGCGCGCCGGCGAGGAGGAGGAGGAGGAGGAGAGCCTACTTCCGCCGCGCCCTGCCGCGCCCCGGCGGAGTCCGGTAGGTACGCCGGGGAAGCACCAGTGGCTCGCAAATCGTCCGTACACTGTGGGGCCAGAACGATTCTCATCAGTCTGAAAATATTTGTGCTGGCCGCTGGGTTGAAACTTTTGGAAGCCCCGTGCGATCGGGACTCGGAGGATGATGGCAAGTGGCGCAGGCAGCGGCGCGGCGGGGATGATGGCGCACACGAAGTGACGAAGTGGAGCGCGACAAGCTCTGCCCGATGGCGCGGCCGGCGTCGCCGGCACCGCGACCCGAGAGGATCCTCGGTGCATGCGGAGCCGCGTGCGAGACGCGCCGTTTCAAGGCGACGAGGACGGCGAGGACGGCGACGAGGACGGCGACGACGCCTCACACGCGGCCCGGAGTGTCGCCGCCTCGCCGCTGCCGGGATGGCGGGGCACCGTTAGCGAAAAATGCAAGGGATTAGTGGTGGCGCACCGGTCGCTTCCGGCCCGTGGCCGCAGAGCCTGCCTTGCAATTCGAGACGCCGCGTCCGTGTGGAATCGGGGTCGGTGTGTGAGTGTGAGTGTTGATGCACTCGTAAAACAGGTGCTGACCGACTGGACGTTGTCCCAAGCAGCGTTACGCCGAGAGACTCGCTCCAGCCACTAAGTCCAAGTGTTTGCTGTAAAGTCAGCTGATAATAAACGACGTCTACACCCCTGAGGTGAACAACCGAATCCGATAACTCTTGATAGTGCGTTGCGATACCCCGACCTTCCAGAGCACTCCGACACTGTCGGCGCGGCGCGCGGCCAACACATGTAAATGTGATTGTGACCTTTGGTTCG